GGCCGCTGGCGCCACGGGGATCGGAGGGCGCGGGCTCGAAACCGCCGATGGGACGGTTTGCTGTTGCTGCTCCGGGAGCCGCGCCGCCGCTGGCCGTCGCTGCCGGCGTTCATGCAGCGGGCGGCCCTGCGCGTGCGCGCCCAACGCCGCTGCAAGGTGCCAGCGCTGGCAGAAGCGTGCGCCCCGTAGCGCGCGGCGGCTCGCTGCGGCGCATCAATGCGGGTGCTTTCGCAGCCTTGTTTGCGCTGTAGAGCATACCTCGAGTATGTCACGAGCTAATGCGTCCGATTAACAAGTCCTCGATACCCCTGGCCACACCACAAACACGCTGCCGTATGCGAAAGGCACTGAGATCGGTATGCAGGGGCTGTATACGATATCCGCCAGCCTCGACGGCAATTTGGAAACAATCTAAATTACGCTTACGGTACGCGGGTCCGTTTCGGTTGGCTGGTGCTTTACAGCGATCTCAAACGGCACATCCTCGCGTGCAATCGAACTGCCTTGCACGTGCACGCAATTGGTGGCCCATCTGTAGTCTTGCAACACAATCACAAGCCTGCGTACTAGTTGCAGCAGCAGATCACGGACTGCGTTCGGGCCTGCCAGCGCGGATAGCGCCTTTAGATTACAACACAGACACTTGCAGGTGCTTATGCTAGACAATGCGCCATGCCGGATATGGCCTGGGCGCCAGCAGCAGCGGCAGCAGCAGGCAGCAGGCTCCACTGCAGTGCTGCAGTGTGCTTCTATGCCGGGTTGTATGGCAGCTCGCAGCGTTTGGTGCACTTCGATCGCATAAAGGAGTTTTCTTTTGTGTGAACGGACCAGGCTAGCCGCGCGGAGTCCACCAAGCTCGTGGTCTCCACTTCCTGACCTTGTGCTGCACACAACGCAGGCATGGCGTTTTCCACACAGCTGCGGCAGCGGCTGACATCCTCCAGCTTCAGCAGCAGCAGCACAGCTCCCCGCAGCAGCTTGAGGGCGGCAGCGAGGTGCGCGGGCCCTCTCCGCGGGCGATCTGGGGCCTGTTCTTGCCGCTCCCCATCAAACCGTTTTCGACCTCCACGCAGGCCTTCGCGCAGTCATGCCGCGCTCGTGCGCGCCGCGGCGGCGACGGAGCAGCCCAGCGAGGGCACCAAGACGCTCATCCAGAAGGCGGCGCCCGGCGAGCTGCCTTTCCCGTGGTCTGAGAAGGACCCCTACAAGCTGCCGGTCAGCATCGATCGCGTGCAGCGGATGTTGCTGACGCTTGGTGAGCATGGCAGGCGCAAAGCATGCCCGTCGCAGGTCCTGCCCGCTTGATCACCACTCCATACCTCGGCAGTAGACCAGCATCGCGAGCCGCGGCGCGCGCGATCGGCTTGGCAGCCGCCGGGGTCCCACAACCCCTCTGCGGCGCCAGAGTGGGTCCTGAAGCGGCGCAGGCCAGCGAGCGACGGGCGGCCGGGCGCGGCGGAGCCGCGGCCGCAGCCACGCGGGCGAAGGCCCGCTTGATTCCCGGCGTAACACGCAGCAAGGCGTGCCATCACCGGCAGGAGCAGGAGCGGCAGCGGCCGCAGCTGCAGCAGCAGCAGAAGGTTTGTGGCGGCCTGTCATGCGGCCACACGGCCAGGACCAGCGACGACAGCTCGCCCCTGCGCTGCCCTCATCCCTCTGTCGCCCCCCCCCCCAAAAACCTTGCGACCCGCCAGGCTGGGAGAAGCCGTGGGTGGAGCAGATCATCGACCGCGTGATGAAGGGGATGCTGCGCACCAACGAGGACCGCGCAAAGGGCGTGGTGAGCTTTGATGCACGGGAGCTTCGCACTCGCGAAGCAGCCCCTACCCTGTCGTACTGTGCCCGCTGGGCCGACGCCACAGAGTCCAGCTGTTTGTGGGTGGTTCTAGGGAAGCGTGGATGGCAAAACGCCCTGGATGCGCAGATGCGATTACTGTGGCTGGCGTCCTGCGGCGGCGGCGGGTGCAGCGGGAGCGGGGCGTGGCAGTGGCGGGGGCAGTAGGAGCACGCGCCGTGGCGGGGCAGCCGTGCAGATGCCGGAGGCGTGGGACGTAGCGCGCCGTTTGCTCTGACGGCCGCGCGCCACGGGTGGCCGCGGGCCTAGCTCGGATGCGACGCGGCCCGCGGCGGCCCCAAGGCAGCTCGCGGCGCGCACGTGCAGCCGGAGAAATGGGGACTAGGTCGGGTGCTCCATTTTCAGGCTCCAGTCTCAATTTACCTGCGCCGCCCGCGGCGCGTGCTGTCGGACGAAGCCGTGTTTCGGGGCGGCGACGCGTCGCAGCGGCCCGTGTGGTATCGTGCGGGCGGCACACATGGCTTGCCTGGAAGCACCCGAGACCCGACTGGGCTCCTGCCCGGCTCCACGCCCTGTGCCTTCCCACTCGTCCCCTGCACAGGACGTTAGCGACCCTCACCTCACTCGCGTCTTCCGCCACACGCCTCTTTCCCTGAAGACGCCGTTCCGTCAGAACCCCAAGATCTCTCACCCCTCTGGGTGTTCCTCGCACACCTCATCTCCCCCCCCCCCCAGATCGACGCCCTGGCTTCCATTGGGCTGCAGCAGGATCAGATCTGCAACATGGCGTCCATCAGCGTGGTGCTGCTGGGGCTCAACCCCGACACGCGGATCAAGCCCGTGGCCGAGTACTTGGAGAAGCGGGGCGTGCCCAAGGACCAGGTGCGGTCCTGGGGCGGCAGGGGGGTTGGGTGACGTCATCAATTGTGTGTTGGTGGGGTTGGATGGTGTCATTTAACTGTGTCGCCGGGACGGCAGTGGTCGGCGGCGTTGAATAGAGACGCGGCTGCTGTTGGTGGTCAGGACGCATTGCTTGCAAACCAGCAATCAAGTATGATCGGACGCGCGTGTGCGCATATGCGTGCGCGCGGGCTCACAAACACACATACACGCGCGCGCATACAACGCTTACACAACCACATAACATGTTGTACATTGTTTGCATTCTCACCCGACCGTGTGCATACACGCACTCACACACACAAAGACACACACAAAGACACACACAAAGACACACACAAAGACATACACAAAGACACACACAAACACACACACACACACGCGCGCGCGCGCGCGCGCGCGCGCGTGCGCGCTCACAATCACGCATGCGGACAGGTGTCTGATGTTGTCCTCAAGAACCCCCGCATCTTCGAGTACAAGGTAGGCCCGCCTCCGCTGCCAAGGTTGCAGCAACCCCCTGCCAGGGGGCAGAGCGCAGAGCAAATGGTCCTGGGCACTGTCACTGTCTGAGCAGCAGCCGCGCACGCGCGCGCGCGCGCGCGCACACACACACACACACACACACACACACACACACACACACACACACACACACACACACAC